TGGGGAGATGGGTGGTTCATACTGCTGGGGAACTGATATTTCAATGTGGGCTTTCTTCTTTTTTTTTTTTAATTGTTATTTGGGTGCAAATTCACTTTCCATACAGCAGTTCACATACACTTTGTCTCATGACATTGACCACAATTTACCACAATGCAACAGCTCCCCTTCCACTTCCTCCCGATAGTTACCTCTTTCCTGTGTGCATCCCTCCATGTGCTCCTGCCCTCTGAGCTGTCTCCCTGTGCATAAGCAGTCCTTCTTTCTCTCATGATTGTTCTCTCCAAGGAGTGTATCTACCTGAGGTAAATGTTCAACTCATATGCCTGTCTTTTGTTTGGCTGGAAGCCATAGGTGTGGGTTCAACTCTAGACCTGAAGGGCAGTTAGGGGCCATAATCTCAGTGGTTCCACCAGGCTCTATTGGACCAGCAAACCTGGTCCCAATGTGGGCTTTCTTTGCTCTAAGCTCTATACTCATTGCTTTTCTTTCCCTTTGGGATACGAGGGGGCATACAAGGATGACTTACATGGATGCTGCTGCTTCTTGTGATCTTGTTTTTGGTTCCAGTCAAATATAGGTATTAATGTGTAGGAATGATTTTCCTGCATAGGACCTACACAGCTGGTTTCTTCTTTAGTTGGAACACATGTACTTTTCCTTCCTTCAGTGATCCACTGAAAGTTTTTCTTACTTCAAGTGATGCTCTGAATTTCTTATTTTTATATGGTATGGGAGACTGAAGAGGTGCTCTGGTGGTGTAGTGTTTTAGGCATTTGGCTGCTAACGAAAAGGTCAGTGGTTTGAACTCATCATCCACTCTGCAGAAGAAAGATAAGGCAGTCTACTTCCGTAAAGATTTACAACTTTGGAAACCCAGTGGGGGTTGCTATGAGTTAGAATTGACTCAATGGCTGTGAGTTAGGTGTTTTTTTTTTGAAACTGAAAAGTCCAGCATATTTGAGCCTCTCTCCTTGGAATCAGAAAACCAAAATCCAAACCCCACTGCCACTGAGTTAATTCTGACTCACAGCTACCCTTTAGGACAGAGTAGAACTATTCCATATGGTGTCCAAGGCTGTAATCTTTATAGAAGCAGACTGCCAAATCTTTCTCCCGCAGAGTGGCTGGTGGATTTGAAGCATCAACCTTTTGATTACCAGCTGAATGCTTTAACTACTACTTTGATTTACTTCCTGGAAATCAGAAGCTGGTCTATGTTATTGCTACTGTTTGGATATACACTGAAGCTTTGTGGCCCAGTAACATATTATGTAAATGTTCTATAGATATAAACCACAAAGATACCTAATTTTAGGGAATAGTTTGCTGTATCTGTTTACAGTAAGCTTCAGTTTCTCCTTTTATTTTTTAATTTTATTCATTTTAGAGTTTCACTTCAAAATTCTGATATTATCAGGACAGCTTTTTTTTGATCTTCATTCTTTTTAAATTCAGCCTTATTTTGATGTATTTTTTGGTGTGGGGTGGGGTTGGTGTTATTCCATAATGAAATCTTTTTCTTTGAATACATGAGTTTATACCATTTGTATTCGCTTATTTAAAAACATCTGCCTTTGTTCTGTCAACCTTAGTTTATGCTGTGTAGCCTATGTTTTTATTTTGTGTACATGTTTTCTAATTGAATAGAACACTTAGAGGATGGTTTTAGTTTTTCCAGTGTTTATTTTATTTAGTATTTTTAACTTGATTTATCAGTTTTAAAGGGCATCTGTTGAAACTCTACTAGTGAAACTTACACATATCTTTGTCCTCTCTAATCTCAATGTTAGTTACATATCAGTAAATTTACCTTGGTTCCTACTCTGAAACTCAGTGGCAAAAAACTTTAAACCATAGTTGTGTATCCACTTGCCCATCTTCCTTTGTGATGCAGTCAGGCTTAAGATAATCAATGAATGATGAATAACTTTAAGAGTTCTTGGGTCACTGACATAAAAATGAAACCCCAGTTTTTGGACTAAGCAGATTAAAGAAATCTCCAAATTAAAAGTGATGTGTTGATGACTTTCTTGGCATTCTCAAAAAAGATATTAAAGACTTAGTGGTATGGGCATAAAATGGCACAGTGTCTATGGAGGATTATTTGACATTATCTGTTTGGCTGGATATTTTCTGTTTATCTCTTCAGATCTACTCTTCACCTGGCCTGTGTCCAGAAGACTGACTGAGTAACATATTCATGGGCTCCCTTGTCTTCTGTTTGAAAGTCAATTTAGGAGGGCAGTTGGAGCAATCACCAGGTTATTAAAAGATGTAGAAAATTAAGTTGGCTATATATTCTGGTAGCGTAGTGCCTAAGGCACTTGACTGCTAACCAGAAGGCTGGCAGTTCAAACCACCAGCCACTCCTCGGAAGGAAGATGGGGCAATCTACTTCCGTAGTGATACTGCCTCAGAAACCCAAGGAGGGGTCGCTATGAGTCGGGTCCAACTTGATGGCACATAACAACAACAATATATTCTGGTGGCGTAGTGCCTAAGGCATTTGACTGCTAGCCAGAAGGCTGGTGGTTCAAACCCACCAGCCCTTCCTTGGAAGGAAGACTGGGCAATCTGCTTCCATAGAGATACTGCCTCAGAAACCCAAAGAGGGGTCACTATGAGTCAGACCCGACTTGACAGCAGTAGGTTTTGTTTTGTTTTTATATGTATTCAACCAGCTCCTTCTCAGCTAAAATCCCTTTTGAAAGTCCCAAGTCCTCTCAGGTGACCCTCTCCATATAAGTCTTCTCTTTAGGCACCGGTGATGGTTTCATCTCCCTGTCCCTTTAGCCCTAGGGATGGGAAAGGCTCTTCATCATCACTAGTTCTGGGAGTCTGCATATTTCTTGTTTTCTCTAAAACCTTCCCTGTCTTTGTAAACAGTCCTCAAACACGCAGCTTGAAAATGCGATCTGTTTGGTGTGCTTCTAGGAATTTGGGAGCTCTAATGGCATGGTGCCTAAGGCACGGTTCAAACCCACCAGTCACTCCTGGGAAGGAAGATTGGGCAATCTACTTCCGTAGTGATACCGCCTCGGAAACCCAAGCAAGGGTCGCTATGAGTTGGAGATGACTCAATGGCACATAACAACAAAAACTAGGAATTTATCTTATGAATCTACTTAGTTATGTAATAAAATGACATATAAACAAGATTATTCACTGCAATATTCTATTTCTATCACTGCCATTCAGTCAGATCCGACTCATAGTGCCCCCTCCTTGGGTTTCCGAGGCAGTATCTCTACAGAAGTAGACTGCCCAACCTTCCTTTCGAGGAGTTGTCTGGTGGGTTTGAACCTCCAGCCTTCTGGTTAGCAGTCATATGCCTTAGGTACTATGCCACCAGAGCTCCCAGTGAAGTATCAGAGGACTGTAAAATAACTGTACAACTCTACAGTGGAATGTGATGCAGTAAATAGCTGTATAAAATGAGAACATCCATTAGATACAACTATGGAGTGATCTCCAACATAGATTTAGTGTGGAGAAAACAACAGTGAAAATAGCATTTCAAGGAGATAGACTGAAATATATTAGTGTAAAAAAGGAAATGAAAGTGCATGTGTATTTATATATATTGGCATAGTGCCTAAGGCATCTGACTGCTAATCAGAAGGCTGGTGGTTCAAACTCAACCAGTCACTCCTTGGAAGGAAGACTGGGTGATCTACTTACATAGTGATACTGCCTTGGAAGCCTAAGAAGGGGTTGCTGTGAGTTGGGTCTGACTTGACAGCAGTGAGTTTTTTTTTTTTTTTTTGAGAGTTATATGTACACATATACACTCTCAAATATATTGATATAGCATCTTTGGAAGGGTACACAAGAAAATGGTTATACTGGTTGCTTCCAGGGAGGAGAAATGGGTAGTATGGAACTTTTCACTATTTATTCTTTTGTGTCATTGAATATTGTATCATTGCATGTATTGCCTATTCAAAAAAATGCATACATTAATAAAGATTAACTGAAGGCCTTAGATAAACAATGACTGAAAGAGAATGAGAGGACTTGTAGAAGGAGTTATTAGACATTGATGAAAGAGCCAGCAATGATAAAGTCACTGAAATGTTTCAAGCAGTCAAATTCTTGGATAATTTAATTTTTTACCATGATCCCTTTGTGGAACTATGTCTTGAATATTATAAATTCTATATTGAGGTTATTTACTGTTCAGAATTGAATGTACAGAATCATATATGATACAGATATATATCTGTTAAATATGGTTATATTCGTTATTTAAAGGAGCGTCAGTTCCATTAGTCTCCACCTGTACTGATATATGGCTGCTCAGTGATCTCGGTTTCCAGTGAAAGGTGTGATTCCATTAAAGGAAATGGGGCATGAGAAAATTTTCTCAGGAAATTAGTGTAAAAGGGAAGAGCAGACTGCTGGGGAAAATAACCATTTAACTAAAGTTGGTTAGATTACTCATTACTATTTTTTATATAGTGCTAAGTTGTGGTCAATGTCATGAGACAAAGTGTACGTGATCTACTGTATGGAAAGTGTATTTGCTCTGTAAATTTTCACCCAAATCACAATTAAAAAAAAAAAAAATTTTTTATTGTGATTTGGGTGAAAGTTAACAGAGCAAATTCACTTTCCATACAACAGTTCATACATTTTGTTTTGTGACACTGAGTACAATCCTCACAATGTAACAGCTCTCTTCCCACTTCCTCCCTGTAGTTACCTCTTCCCTGTGTCCTTCTTTCCTATGCACTCCTGCCTCTGAGCTGTCTCCCTGTACAACACTGCCATTCTATTGTCATGATCAGTCATTCTAAGGAGTGTATCTACCTGGTGTAAATGTTCACCCCATATGCCTGTCTGTTGTTTGGCTGGAGATTACTCTTATGATATTAAAAAATAACAAAAATAGGAAATGATTGCTAGCTGGATTTTTTAGGGTGGTTTTAATATTCCTAATGTGGGCATTCCTGTTAACAAAAAGTTCTACAAGACACAGGTAAACACACACTCACCCTTCCTGGAACTGAGCTTGGGCAGACTCCTCCGCAACGAGAGTCTCGTACTCCTCAGCAGCAAACCTGTCCCAGTCAGAGGGCTCAGGCCCCTCACTGTCCACATCCTGATTGGAAAGAAGACAGCCATGGGAGACCCAAATCCGACACACAACTGGATACAGGTCATCACAAATGTTGCTGTATATCTCTGAAAAACTATCTGAAAATGTTTCATTTCAACATGCTAAAAGAGCCAATGTAATTTTCCCACAGTGATTTTTTATACCTCAAATTCCGAATTTATAACAAAGTGTTTGGCACCTAGATTCTTAAGATTTAGATTTTCTAGCCTTGTAACCTGAGATCTTGTGGTTTAGTACATGCCCATTTGAAATATACTGGTCCTTCCTCTGGCAAATTTTTATTGTTTCTTTAAAACCAGTTCAGATAACATGTCATCTGTGGTATCTTCCTGGAAATGTCCCTTCTCTCCCAAATCACTTCCTTCTCTATATCTTATATGCTTTGGTTGCCAATTTTTGTTCTTCTGAATTTTTTTAAATCTGTCTGTAATACCCAGTATCTTTTTTCAACACAGTGCCTGGAATTTATTGAATACTTTCTGATTAATAATGATCTTTGCAAATCAGAACAAATACTGATCAATATAAATAAGAGGAGCAGCTCTGGTGGTACAGTGGTTAAAGCATTTGCTGCTAACCAGAAGGTCTGCACTTCAAACCCACCAGCTACTCCGTGGGAGAAAGATGAGGCATCTGCTTCTGTAAGATTTACAGCCTTGGAAACCCTATGGGGCAGTTGTACTTTGTCCTATAGGGTCATTATGAGTTGGAATAGAGTCAATGGCAGTAGGTTTGGTTTGGGTTTTTATAAAGAAAAGTAAAAGGTAAAAGTTAAATTTATAACACAAAAGATATGAAGAAGGCCATACATCTTCTTTTCTTTCTACAGTGTGGGCAATGTCTTGGATTATATTTCCAGGTAAGATAGTATCTTTCTGCTTTCTAGGACTGAAAGTCTTTTAGCACTGCTGTGGGGTCTAGGGTCATTTATGCCTGGAAGAATGTAAGTACTGAAACACTAACCATACAATATGGTTAACTACAATATTTGATCCATTTTAAGACACTCCTCTTCCCTTTTCACATCTCTGAAACTGGCATGCATTTTAGACTTATAAATGGTACCATTTAAGACTGATACCATCTTAGATTCAATGAAATACAGAATTGGTTTTAGAACAGTGACAATGCATCAGCTGCTATGTATTTGTTTGTAGAAGGTGATGTTGTATTCCTATACTGTAAGGTCAAACAAACAGTTATGCAAGAAGTGGAAGAAAAAGAAAAGGCTGCAAAAGCTTGTATAGTTGTACTGCTACTCAATGGAAGCAATGCTTTCCTAGCTCTGTAATTTTTACTTTTTAAATGGGAACAGGAAGGGAAATGGTGATACTGGGTTTGTTTTGGACATGGATCACAGGTTCATGTTTTCTGAAAGTCCACAGGTTTCTATTTATGGGGAGAGGGTGCTCCTTTCTATTAAGACACAGAATGACATTAAAAACTGACAGCTGTGCACAGCAGTCATCATTACTCAAAAAAAGTATCACTGTCTGAAGGTTGTCTGTCATGGAGAACTTTTAATTTTCATTATGATGGGGAGTGTTTTTTGGTCTGTTTTTCTTTTTATCATGGCATCCAGAAATGAATGGTACAATTAAATCAAGTCTAATATAGTTTGTAATATAGCTGGGCCTATTGATACATTTTTAAAAGGTACATTAAAAGGACAATTTTTTTCAAAACTATTTTTTAATGAACTTTTTTAGAGCAGTTTTAGGTTTAAAGAAAAACTTATTTTCATAGTTTCTAATGTGTACATGAGTACAAGGCCATACAGTTCACTCAGTGGAAAGTTCCTAAGGTAGATAAAGGTGACCTAAATGTGAAGATTACGTCTTTAAATACCAACATTGCTGTATTCAGAACCCATCTTTATATGTGGCACACAGCTCTTGGCACTGAGCCCTTAAATAGAAGTTAACATATACTGATACCTTCTGGACTGCAAAGGGATCTCTCTGTTCATGGTCTAAATATTTCTCCAGATTAAAGAAAGTGTCATAAAAGATGTGGGCCATCCGGCATCTCTTCAGATCATGGAGAGTTATTTTGCCTGCATAAAACCAAAGAAAAGGTGGTAAATTTCACCAACAGCTGCTTTGGCAAGAGAAACAAATTTTCACTGAAGTTGAAAAGATCTATGTTTGTTTTAGATAAAAACCCCATTTTTTCTTATTGAGGTAAAATTCATATAACAAAGTCATTTTAAAGTGTACAATTCAGGCTTTTAATACACTGTTTTGTGCAACCATAACCACTATCTACTTCCAGAACACTTTCATCACCTCAAAAGGAAATCTCATACCCATTAATCAGTCACTTTCCATTCCCCTCTTTCCCGAACCCCTGGCCACTAATGTGCTATTTCTCTCTATGGAAATATTCCATTTCTTAAATAGTCTATTTGCCATCAATTGTTGGTTCTATACTAACAGTAAAGGTGAAACTTTAAACTCTCTGTACTTAGGAAGCCTGTAAAGATGACTCTGGAAAATTAATTCAGGACAGTCTGGGATTATGTGTCCCACTTTATGAACTGTGCAAATAAACTGCCCTTCACACACTCTCACCATCACTGGCTGGCTTCACCAGATCAAGCATCTGGCAAAGCAAATCATGGAATGGCAGGGGCTCAATGCCCATGGCTTCCATCCGCTCACACTGCTCCTCGTAGAAGTATTCCAGCTCGTACATGGAGAGTACACCATCCCCATCCATGTCCATGCAGCGGAACCAATACTCAATGCTAGGAGATAAGGACACTCATTAGCTCAGGCCTGGTAAGAGTCCTTTATTCACTTAGATTTACTGATGCCCATGTTTCTTTTTAATTAAAAGTTACACATGTGTATGTTAGCCTTAAACATAGTTTTACAAGGTTTATTAGAAAAAAAATGGCATGCCCCTTGTTCCCTTATTTCTCCTTCCTCAGAACCAACCATTTTCAATACTTATTTTGGTTTTTACCTTTGTATTTTCAGATAATATGCCTCTATCACTCCTCTCATATTTGTTTTAGCAATTGTGTATTAATTTTACACTGTGAGATATGAGTTCAGCTTTTGTTACTCCTTCACATCTTAACTACGTGTCCTTCCCATTGTCTTATATAGTAAAATTGCTCAATATTTAGAGTTTATGATTTTGTACTTTCCCTTTATCTTCTGTTTAATTTTCTGTGTACGTGTCACTAATACAATCCCAAACTCCCTGTCAGTTGTCTAAAGTCACAATCAGTTCTATCAGGTATTCTATTAATTGCATCTTGATGAAGCCCTTCTTGGTTTCTTCTGCCCTGCTCTAATCTGGACTGGTTGGTATCTAGGCCTGGTTCAGAGTTTGATCCTAGAGATTCCTTTCACCTTGCTCCTATCTCCTGTATTTCACATTTCCCTCCGTTTTGGTGTACTTCCTTGTTTGGTATGGCACATCTTCAAGTTGGTTTCTGGAAAAAGAAGCATGGCAGGTCCATTTTTTGAGATATTGGATTATTAGCTATTTAAAAATTACTTTTTTCTTGATAATGTGTTGGTATTTTGACTAGGTACAAAGCTGTAAGTTGGTAGACCTTTTCCTTTAGAATCTTAAAGGCCTGAATCTACTGTCTTCTGTCTATCCTTTTTTTGTTGAAAAGTCTAAAGCCATTTTCTTTCTGCTTCTTTGAAATTCTTTTTGTTCCTTCTCTGAAACCTGTAGAGGTTTCTCTAAGTCCCTGTTGTTGTTATGTGCCGCCGAGTCAGACCCAACTCATAGCGACCCCTCCTTGCGTGTCTGAGGCAGTATCACTACGGAAGTAGATTGCCCCATCTTCCTTCCAAGGAGTGGCTGGTGGGTTTGAACCTCCAGCCTCCTGGTTAGCAGTCAAGTGCCTTAGGCACTACGCTACCAGAGCTCCCAAGTGTTTTGAAATTTCATGATGAAATGCCTCGGTCTAAGTCTAATTCATCTATTTTGCTAGGATTTCTGATAACTCTTCCAAATTTGGAAACTTGTAACCTTCAGTCCTAGAAATTTTCTTTTAACTTTTTATTGTGCTTTGGGTGAAAGTTTACAAAGCAAATTAGTTTTCAACAGTTCATACATGTTTTGTGACACTGACTGCAATCCCCGTAATGTAACAGCACTCTGCCCACTTCTTTCCTGTGTTTACCATTTTCTTCCATCCCTCATTCCTTTCCCTTCTTGCCTTCTGAGCTTTTTCCCTGAGAAAATGCTTCCCTTTTGATCTCTTATGATCACTTGTTCTAAGGAGGTGTACCTCCCTGATACTACTGTTAACCTTGTAAGCCTGTCTATTGGCTGAAAGTTGAGCCAGGGTGGTCAGATGAGTTCCAGGCTTGAAGGGTGACTAAGAGCCATAGTCTCAAGGGCTCCACCAGTCTCTATCAGACCAGAAAGCCAGGTCTTTTTTTCTTTAAAAATGATTTTGAGTTTTGGGCACATTTTTTTGTCCCACTCCATTCATTTTCTGTGATCTCTTTCAGAGCAGTTGGCTATGGTAGCCGGGCACCACCAAGGTTGTGTGGTCCATTAGTCCTTTGGACTAATTGTTTCCTAGGAAATTTTCTTATTCTCTTCCCTTTTTCCCCTTCCTCTTTCTCTTTATTCTGGAACTCCTGTTACTGAGACCTGTGTAGTCTAATATGCTAGCTACTAGTCACATGGTTATTGAACATTAATGTGGTGAGTCCAATTTGAGATGTGCTCTAAGTACAAAATCACCTCTGATTTTGAAGACTTAAGTATGTAAAAAAGAATGTAAAACATTAATATTTTTATTGATTTCATGCTGAAATGACATATTGGATTAAATTCTATAATTAAACTTTACCTATTTCTTTTTACTTTTTGAATGTGGCTAACTTTTAAGATGATGTAAGTGGTTTGCCTCATATTTAAATTTTCAGTGATGTTGGACTTTTTGGACTGGTTCTTTAATTTTCATGTTTTCTCTATTTTTAATCACTTCATCTTTTTTGTTATTCTTTCTGGGAGATTTACTTAGTTTTATCTTCTAATCATTTTTTTTTTTTTTTTCTGCTATCATAGATTTGATTTCCCAGAAGTGTTTTCTGGATTCCTGAATTTTCATTTTTTAACAAGTACCATTCTGTTCATGTTCAGTTAATGTAATTTCTTCTCATATCTCTTTGAGGATATAAATAATAGTACTTTTTTTGGTTGTTACAGTTTTCTTTTTCCTGCGAGTCTATTTCATCCTGGTTACTTCTTTTTCCTATTTGTTTGGACTTTTATCTTGTATAGAAGAGACTTTAGTTGGGTGTCTAGTGATCTTCTGTTTTCTACTCATAATAAAGAGCAGGTGCTATAAAGTTGACCAGAAGTTCTGATCTATGAGTTTGTTGACTCTGTGTTTTACTGTAAAGTCATCTGGCTGGCTTGTTTTCTTGGGGATGATCCAATGTCAAATCTTTAGGTCTTTTTCCTTGGGTTGGACAGATCCTCCCAAGCAGGATGTTTTAGCCTTCCAGCTAGAGGTTTAGTACAGGTTGCTAGCATTCTGTAAGCTGAGTGAGGGGTAAAGCATATAATCATAGCATTCAGTAAGCATATAATCATTTAATCACTGTTTTCACTATGGTACCCACAGCCTCAACTCTGCCTGGGGCTTCCCAATGCAGAGGTCCTCTATTTAATATTTGCAAAGAATAAAGCACCAGTCTTTAGCCAAGGTAGAGATGATCTGGAGATCAGCTGTTTCTTTAACAGACTTTCAATAAACTCTCCTGTTTTTTGGCTCCACTTTTACCTTATCCCCACTTCCAAGGTTCTTGGTACTATAAGACTGAGAGTTTTTGCTAGGAGTATTTGGTTACTTCTTGCTTTTTTTCTACTGCTGGATTCTGGTAGATGACCCCCCCCCCTTTTCTAATCTGCTTTTAGATAAACAATGTTTATCTGTTTCAGTTTCCAAATTTTTGTTTTTGTTATCTCTTCTATTTCCTTTATTAGTGAGGGTTTATTCTTTTTTTTTTTTTTTTTTTAAATTCCTTTACTGGCATTGTAGTGGGGTTTCAAGAGGGACCAGAAGTACTGTGTGGTTCACTTGATATATTTACGCACATGCCTATACATTCTTTATTTTGGCCATTTTACCATATGGGACTGTCCCTTAAAGTAACATATATAGACATATAGAATATGAAGTCAACTGCATTAATTGGTAATAGCAAACAGTATTTCTCTATTAAAAACACTTATTCATGGCAAAGTAAAGGTCCTAGAAGGCCACTTGTCAAATTCCCATTTCTAGACCTAAAGACATAATAAGAATAAGCAAACATTTAATGATTATTAAAAACCTCTTTTGGATAAAGGTGAAAATAACTAATTTGTGACTATAAACTGTTTTCAGGTAAGTTACACTAAGATTTGTGTGTACTCTTTTCTCAGAAAGATAAATTTTACAGCAAAACAAACATTAATACTTGCAGGGTTCTTTTGAGAAATCTTTTTGTAAACTGCAGCAGCTTAATGTTTAATGTTACCATTAAAGAATGGATAGATGTGCATTGGATCCACGGGACATGAGGTAACAGAGTTTGGCTGTGATGAGGTCCATTCATACCATATCCACTCCAAGAGTTAAAAAAAGGGCAGATTCCCACCCCACTTTAAAATAATTCCTGATTGTGGGAAAAAGGGACCCCGAGTCTGTCCCTTGCCCCTAACAGAGGTGGGAAAATGTGGTTGTTACACCAGATTGTATAATAATCTGTATAGTAATAGTATTTTGTGTAATTAAAAAAAGGGGCAGTAATCCTATACCTAGAAAACCCACATAAATAAAACAAAGGAGAAGAACCACATGATCATATCAATTGATGCAGAAAAGGCATTTGATAAAATCCAACACCCATTTCTGATCAAAACTCTC